AGTCAATCTTAGTATAAGGACTTTAACCCGATCTGGTATTTCTCACTGACGTGATTTCTGACCCGGTCACTATGGAGCAAATTGGCAGCGCAAGATTTGCCAATTTCTCCAATGAATTTGTGCTACTTTTGTAAAGGCATAACAGAAAGAAAAGCATAAGCCCAGGATTTGTGAATTCATCCGATACGCCGATGTCAATACGCCGATGTCAATTTCATAGTTGATTCATAAGCGGGAATACAATCCGGGGCCCAGGATTTGAGAATTCATTGAATCGAAGCCAGTGTAGTAGGGGATTATATGGAGAAAAGACAAAAAGACCCGGGCCAAAAAACCAAAACAGCAGTTGCTTGATGAAAACCGATGGAGAGAACGGTTAGTTTCGAAGAAAAGTTGGCCTTGCTTTGTCAAGACCTCTTTTCCTGGATTACGAACAGCTCTGGACAATTTATGTTCATTGTAGGGGTCCTAGTACGAAAGCCAGACCCAGTGCAAGGAGTCGACAATGACAGAGGCTTCAAAGCCGCATGTCTCACCTAGTCTCCGACAGTCCTCCCTCGCATTATGATATTAACCACTCATTTTTAACGCTGTCTAATTTCTCAGTAGCGAGGCTTTCACATGTGTCGCATTCACTAGTATGGATGGACAACACTACCTTTTTAGGAAAGGATGCCGGAGCAGAAAGCGCAAAAACACGTAGAACAACAATGTTCCTGCGGCACTTGTTCGCATCGAGGTTGTTGCACATGGTGCCTCCTAGAGAGGAAGAGGCTAGAAAGTAATGAGGGCAGTAAAGAAGGGACAACTTGAAGGCAGAAGCACGAGTGTAACATCCCACAGTAGGTGCAGTCCTGAACTTTCTGTGTGTTGCATTGCGTCCTGACAAGGCTTGGTACCCTCGAGGATCGCAGGTTTTGGCAAGGGTGTGCCACCATCAACTCGCTGCTTGGATGCCAGCTGCAACCTCTTGTGTGCCTGGGCTGGCTGCTCCGTCGAATCAGAGGTATCGAGCAGTGTGTGGCTGTGGCCCTCAACGAAGCCGACGTCCGACTGGAGGGTGGCCGGTTTTTTGTTTTGACGGCGGCGCACGATGGCTTCAATTTGACTTGGGTCCCGTCAGCTTCGTGGCTTGGCCAGAAGCTCAAGAAAGCAACATGAACGGCCATGATTCCTGAAGTTGAGGCAAGAAGGATACCGGGCGGACCAGGCTGGGAGACTTAAAGCGACCGCGGCGAGACACGGCGTGACACGGCGTGACACGGCATGGCCATTGCTGAGGCGTGGTCGCAGGTGGCGCTTCTTCCGTTCCGCTCCGAGCCTCGGCTGGATAACTGCCATAGCTGCTCAAAAAGAGACTTCCGAAAACCGCTTCGCCGCTGTGTCGGTTTTTGGAGTCGGAGAGAATGGCTCTGCTGAGGTTTTTTCGAAGCATGAGGCGCTGGATTGTTCCAATTTCTCTGCGTGCCACGTGCTTCTTTGTCTGAGGGGCTGGCGTCATCTACGGGTAAGGGGAGGAAGGAACGATCCTCAGTGAAATGCAGGGGCCAGCGTGCCAGCAGCTCTGCTGCTCTGCTGTATTGTTGGCTGTTAAAGGCGCGCACAACAACCGACGATCTGCCAGCTCTGCAGACGCCCCCTGAAGCCTTGCTGGAGGCTGGATTACTTTCCTATGACATGTTTCGTCAAGGCATGTAGCTGCATGATTCGTGATTATGCACAGGAGCTGAAGCAGCTGGGTTTAGATGGGCTGCGGGCTCTCATTTTTATCCTTGCCAAGACCTACCAGCCCCTTGCTCCATCGATTGCTTGCAAGGGTCTCCTGTGTTTCAGTTTGGGCCCATCCTGTGTCGGCAAAGGACGCCGGAGAATGCTTTCCAGGTGATGAGTCCAGAGACACTTGGCTTTTTCAATCAGAGCTGAAGGTGAGCCTGAGCTGCTTAACCACCTGAATTGCCTGTGTTCTCAGGCATGGCCAGGCAAGCCCGCTGGATCTCGAGAATCTCTGCCGCAGGCAATGAACCTTCACCTCAGCCATCTTCTGACACTAAGAGCCAGACATGTGCCAGGCAACTCGGTTATGACGTGGAGTCTCTGACTGGCGTCAAGTGCCTGCTGCTCTTCACAGAGTTGGATCAGCGGGGAAACGGTTTCATCACTCTGGAGGAAGAGCAGTGGCAACATGCAGAATCACGACGGATGTGCTGTGCCGCTGTGCTCTTCAGGATCTGGCCTGCAGCAGTTCCTCTCCCGAGAAGTTCCTACCCTGTAGCTGCGCAGCCATGGGCCAGGCCTGCATTTCCCAGGCGCGCAGATCTTCAGCCGAGATAAGCTTGGCAGGCTTCGCGTTTGCAACGGGCTGCACTGCACCTGGCGGTCCTGGCAGGTCTGGAAATTGGGCTCAGGAGCCGAGGGTGACTTCGGCAGGTTCGTCAGCAGTGGCACGGTGTCAACCTACAGCGCAGCTTGCCGGAGCATTACACACCCTCCCAGAAGCCTGCAAGGGCGTGTTGCACCCAGGCTCTGGGCCCCGGGCTCAAAGCGAAGAAGCCAGCGAAGGCAAGAGCGAAAGCTGGTGAGGAGCATGGATGCATGGTGGACCCTCCTTCTAGGCTAGTTCAGCGTTGAAGCGCCCGGAGCGGCCACGAGGGGGGACCGCATCCGGGAGTACCTGATATGCAATTGTGAGTACTTCAAAAGCTGTTCTTTCGCATTGCTTACAACCTCAGGTGACGAAGGTTCGCGAACCACCCGCGGTGACACGTACCGGCGAAATGATGCCATTCGAAAGGAGCGCGAAAATCGAGAAGTGCAGGACGTCTCTGGATGTGTAAGTTGTATATCATATTCGCGCGAATTGTCCGGGGATGGCAGGACACACATCTTGATTTGGAGAGGGAGCGCTTCATCACTACCGTGCCGCTAAGTTCGACAGTTCGGCGAAAGTCCGCTGTTGCTGCTTGAGATGTCCTAGGCAGAGAACAACCGTCCTCCATCCTTTGGATTATAATGTCACGCGACGCACATTTGAGGCCTTGCGTCCATCTTTTCGTTTCTAAGCAGCCTGAAGACTGGCACGACCTGGCACAGCAAACTTTGCTTGAGCTGTTAAGTGCTGTTCTGTCAGGAGATCGAATCCAAGCACCGGCTTGTGCAGCGCCTGAGTGCTGAAGCAGAGGCCGCCTTTGCCAAAAGCCGCGGGAAGGTGGCAGAGGAACCAGAAGGCTTGACACAGAGTGTTGGTCCGAAAGAACTGCAATGAAATCCCCCCTTCTGAGGGCATTTCTGTGTAATACCATGCCAGGTGAAGGCGCCCGAGCCCCACTGCCCGATGATGAGAGGGACCGACCAAAGGAGAAGGCAGACAAATCGGAGAAATCACAGAAACTCCAAGCTGTGCCCAAGAATCCACCGAACACTCCGCGAGCCCTGCTGGAGCTGCTTCGTCTCCAAATTGTGATGCTGGCATCTACTGCTGGCCTGCGGGCTATATAGTTGGTACGTTCTTCGCTGAGGATGTCGAGACGAAATCGCGGTCACTCGGGAGGCGCGGAATCAGAGATCGATTCCCTGACCAGCCACCTGGCTTTCATTTTGAGATGTGAATTTGAGAAGCTCGGAATTTGAGCAGCTAAGGTGGCAAGCCCTTGCCGCAGGCAAAGAAGTTGGCTCGAGCACGCGAGCAAGCGTCGCGCCAGCCCAGCCCCGTGCGGACGCGGCTGGAGATCAGCAGCCTCGTGGTTGACGCGCTTCGACCGCGCGTGGCCGCAGGTGAAAGCCTCCATCCAACCCTTCCTTTCCTTTCCTTTCCTTTCCTGCTGCTTTCCTGCTGCATAATGATGGTTCGTGCTGTTCGACTTCTATTGGTTGCAGGCATTGGAGACGGCCAGCTGGCTGTCTACTACCTTTTTCGCTCGCATGGCTCTAAGCGAAAGCAGCTGCACCAAATCCAGGGATTCGATGCCTCGCGCCGCGTTGGAGACGTGGCAACAGCAGTGTCTCTTCCGAGCCGCCGCCTGCTTGACGATGGGAGCCTCGCCGTGGAAACTGCATCTCGTACGGATGGAAGAAATTGCGGTCCATTTTGTATGGAAGTGAGATGCTGTCTTTTCTGCAACATACACAATTGCATGTTTGTTAGGTTCTTGCGGGATTTGAAAGCGGGCGTGTTGCCATCTTCAAGACATTTTTTCCGGAAGACTTCATCAGCGAGTCTGGTGACAAAGCCATGACTCTGGAAGAGGCCGCCTGCTGTTTGGGGGGCAATTTGTGGAACATGTGGTTCCATGAATCCTTGACGGTCTGAGGTCATGGAAGAGCGGCAGAGAATCAAAAGCCTTGCAAACGGTGAGCCGGTGCTGCAAGCGCAAGAACCGCTCCTGTTGGAGCACTACCATTGTGACAGTCCTGTTGTGGTGACTTGGCACATGGCACTGAAGTTTGCCTTTGCTCTAAAAACCAGATTGCACGCAAGGGAATTGGGAGAGACCTGGGAGGCTCTGTTCTGGCACCAGATTATGGGCATCTTCAGCATCTCAACGAACGGACGTGTGGTTGTGGCTGATAGCTGCGGTGTGAAAACTTTTTCCATTGCAGAGGCCGATGCCTTGTGAAGAGCTGAGAGGGAGAGAGCAACCTTGGACCGACTTACAAATTTACACACGAAAGCCCTGACAGCAGAACCTTCCAACCCGACACCCGAAGCCTTAGCTCCAAACAGATCTGCAGTGTGAAGCAAAAGCACGGGGGTCCAGCACGACCTCAGAACAAATGCCAGAACCCAGAACTCGTTGAAACCACCAACAACTTGGAGCCGCAAGAGCTTCCGCTCTCAAGAAAGGTATGCCATTGTGGCGCAAATTTAAGTTTGCGCGCAGCATCGTGAACAGTTTGCCTTTTATTGATAATCAGCCACATGTATGAATCAAGAAACAATGGCCAGAAATTGGGGGTTGCTGGAAGGCGCCAATGTGCGAAACTGCTCCAAACAGGCTCTGCTTCCCCTGCAAAAGCCCAAGAAGCCGAGCAGATTTCCTGCAACATGCATTTGCAAATTACATAGTTTGTGTGATGGACTGCTAGTGGCCTGGAGGCATGCGGCCGGAATGCCACTGCCACGTCTGCGGACATGCCCAGTGCCCAGAAGCGCCCAGCTCTTTCTGAATTCAATAGGGGTCTTAAGGGCACCGTTTGGCGTTACAGTAGGTCCACTCAACTGGAGCAGCTCGCCGTGGCCGGTCAACGGGGGGTGCACCTCTGGCAGACCTTGTCCCAGGCGAAAAGAATGTCTAACAATCTTATCTGATTGAAGTCCTCCCGTCCCCGTGTGCAGGCAAAGTATGGCGTTGTGGGCACAGTCCAGGTGTCAGAATGAAATATCAGGCGAAGCGAAGTGAAGCATGTTGCAAGTCAGTGCAGGAGGGCTCGGATGTCCATCCTGAGCAGAACGATAACTTCATGCTGGTGCGCTACATGCCCTCTGGAAAGTTTCTCCTCACGCTGAGCCAAGACCGCGGTGATGTCAAGCTTTGGGATGTGCCAGGTCTGAATTCTGCACTAACTTTTCACAGTCCAACTGCTCCACTTGGGTCCAAAAGGTTTTCTGTTGACCTGTTTAGAAGTTGGTGTCCACGGCGGCTTGAACTCTGAGGCTATGAGCCTGGAGTTGCATTGCTCACTGCGGCCTGGAGAGAGCTCTGTAGACTGCGCATTCTGGGAACCACGCTGGGCCACTGCAGACGCAAAGAGAGCGCGCGTGAATCACGTGTCGTCAGCTGCTATACTAATTTCACAGCCTTTTTGCGAGCCTCTAGCTCAGGAAACTCTTTTAATCTTCACGGCCAGCGGCGTGACGGAGATCGAGCTACATGAGCAGGAGATACATCAGGCACAAGGGCGGAATTGTAGCGTTTGCTGGGGGGATGGGGCAGCAAAATGCCAACACTTCCAAGTTGGCACAGGACGAGGTGGATCTGACGGGGCCTGTGAAGTCCTTGAGTCAGGCAAGGTCCTTTAGAACTACGATTGTAGGCTTTTGACTGGGCAGCAGCTGCAGGGAGACTGTACATATTCAATCATATTCATTACCGCATGCTGGATGCGCATGAGTGAAACCAGGCTCATGCAGGACGTGAAATACTCATGGCCAAATGTACAGAGATGTCCGGTGCTCCTGAATATGCGCGCTGCTTTTTCGAGATGCCGCGGTCTGATTACTGCCAGCTCATTTGACACAACTTTGCGGAACAAACAGCTGCCGCAATGCCATGACAAGAACCGATCTTCGCACATGACCCCGTATCACGTGCAGATTCCAATTCCCGAAGGTGAGGCATTTGAAGTTTTGTAAATCTTCCAAGGCAAATCCGCCCCGCCTATGTCCACTAACGGCTTTGGCCTTTGCGTTGGTGTCTCAGAAAGGTGAGGTTCGGGTCAACAGTTGCTTGCAGAAACCTGGGCACAGCTGGCACAGCCCATGCGTTGTGTGAGGTGGGAACTTTGAGACCTGGCCCGTTGGATTCCTGGCTTGTGCTTCGCTGCTACTCGTATGTCATATAGGAACTGGGGATGCTAAGGTCCGGCAATACCACCAACGCTACTTGCTTGGTGACTCCACGCGTTACAGATTGTTTGCACCCAGACCATGTGCATCGTTTGCGAACTAAGGGGGCGCACAGAGGTGGCATGACGCCTTTCAGGACATGCTAGGCTATACAGTACTGGGCCTTTTGGGTTTAGCAAGCTGTGTGGCTACTTTGGAACGCCACCGCAGCTGAGTTGCAGGACTGGGGGCCCGGTTCGTGCAAAGGCTGTGCACTTTAAAGTTTGCATCATGCTTTCTTTTATCTGTTTGCTGTGAGGCGGATTTGCTGGGAGATGGTGGTGTTCCCTTGAGGCGAAATCGCCCTGCCACAGCCACAGCGTCCCCGAGTCATCCCGGGTTTCGAACCGCTTCGCCTGCATCGCCTCTTCGTAGCTCTCGGCCGCCCTCGCCACAGCCGCCACAGCGTCCCTCTTCGCCCCAGCGAGATCCTTTAGCCCCAGGTGACCGGAGTAAAGTTCGATCTCTCACTTCGCATATGCGACGAGCACCTTCACCAACGCCGGCCTTCAACAAGGCTGCCTCTGGCAAGCCGAGGTGGCGAAGCTGAACAAACCAAAATCCTTACAATCTCTTAGACAAAACATTACACAACATTTTACACCTAGTGTTGTCAGTCATCGCACCTCCAATCCTGGGACCCAAAGGGGTTCCACCTTGTTCTCCTCTTTACCAGAGAGGACGCGCAAATCAGTATAAGACAAGAGCCCGCGCAAAAAGACATGGGCACTTGTGCTTCCGAATCTGAGCAGCATCAGCTACAAGCCTGAACAAAGGCTGCAGCATCCAGAGCAGCAGTTCCAAGGAAACTGAATGGACCTGACGTGTTGATGTGTTCTGGCCGCTGCTGTGCTGGATGCATTTGCCGCTTGTCTCACGCCCAATGCAGACATTTTGCATACAGATGCATACCCAAGCCTGGAGACTTGGTCTCCCTGATTCGTTTGCTGCATTTGCCCGTGAGCATCTTAGCACAGCAGTGGTTGCCAAACATGTGTGTGTGTGTGTGTATGTCTACTTTGCTTGCTTGGGTTGACTGCTAGTCCTGTGTGGTTAAGTGTTTGGTAAAGATCAAGTTAACAATCAGTCTAGAAAGAATCTGCTGCCCAACATTACGTCACTTGGATGTTCTGGGGTGTTTTGAGTGTTGCTAGAGGATGCTGGAGGGTATTAGTGGGCTTTCAAGCATTGAGTGTATTTCTGTTGGAATTCACTTGGTATCATTGATGAAGCAATACGTTCTTCTTCAGGTCCAGGACTTTACTGATCAGTTCCCGGGCTCAAGCGCTGCGCTGAAGACTAAAAGTTCCAGATGGCAGGTATGCTATTAAAGACCAGCGCGTCACCGGCTTCAGAATGGCCTTGATGCAGCTAGAGAAGGTAATGAATGCTTTCTTGCGTCATACGGGCTGTGCAGCATCTCACAATCTGCCCTGCGGTGCTGTGGACAATCCTCATGAGTTCATAACACTGCTACATCGCACGACAAACGGCGGCCAGCTTCAGGCCCCGCATAGTGCAGGTTGGCTTGGACATTCCGCAGCGCTGTAAATGAAGGCGTACTAGCGCAGCTGCAGAATTCGCGAGTGGCAGTTGGGAGAAGTTATGATGCATGAATCCCATGTGGGTTTGCATTGTTTTCTTCTGTTGAATGGTTTAGTTATGCCACTTGAGGCGAGAGCCCAGCTGTTTGCCTGCAAGCTGTGCGATTCCAGTGCAGGCAGAAAATCAAATCAGGCAGAAACATGAGCATCATGCCACTTGTATGAAGATGTGATTCTGTGTGTACTCCCTTTCGCTCTGGTCACCTTCGGTTTTCCCAAAGCTGTAGTCCAATGGTTCCCCATTGGGCGGCTACGGCCTCCTGTTAAGGCCTGTATTCAATAGCATATTCTAACATCAACCTGAATCCTCTACACCTCAAGCTCCAGAGCCGCATAGATTTACACAGCAGGAGTGCGGGGCAGCGTGGCCAACGTGTGGACTGTGGCGCGGAATCGAACATAGGGTGGAGTCGGTGGAGCGGTGGGTGCTGATTGGGCAGAGGAGAGTTTGCAGAGTGCAGTCTTAATAAGTAGAGTGGAGAATTCCGAGTGCATGGTGGGAGTGACCGCAGCGCAGGAAAGTGTAGGGTGGAGAGGGCTATGACGTGTTTACGAGCAGTCGTGCCCTGGCATTTGATCTTCATGTATTTACATGAGGCAGGGGGGGAGGAAGGCCATGCACGGGGTTTTCTGATGCGGGGGGAGGAAGGCCATGCACGGGGGAGTGGGTAGCCGTGCTGAACGGGAAGCGGAGTGCAAAGAAGTGCTGCTACTGGTTTCACCTCTTAGTGTCAGTAAGCTCGTGACAGGCATTTGCATTCGGATTCGTGGCTTCTATCTGACAGGCTTTTGTCTCCCTAATTTTGTTTGCATATACCCTGTGCTGTTTATTCCATGCTCAGCATCTGTGTCATCTGTGTCCCTCTCCTTTCCTTGAAATGCCCACGTTCGCGACCCAGCTGAATTGCACTTGGGCAGCCATCCCGCGCATGCTCGTCTTGGAGCCGCTTCTGCTCATTGCGGTCCCTTCCAGAAGCAAAACAGATTTGGGTTGACAATGCCGCATGCCGAAGGGAAGCCGTCGAGGATCCCGGGCAGAAAAGGGTGCTGTTGCTTGATTCTCGTCTTTTGGGGAGGTGCCAAAGCAGCCGAGCGCGAAGTACTTGAGCGAGATCCAGGGTCTTCCCAGCATAGATTTCGTTTCTGGACGTGCGCATGTTTCGTTGATGTTTGCATGGCATGAAAAAAGGACTGCTAACCCTTGTTGCCAAGGCGTCCAGCGCCACCGCTTCCTGAAGAGCAGGAACCCGAGGCAAGTAGCTTGTCATTTTTGTTGAAGCTTTCTTTGCACTTCATTTTGGCGGCGGATGGTGTGACTGCCCAGGATCCAGCGGAGAGGCCCTGCAGGTGTGTGGTGTGCGAAAAGGCCAGCACATGCGTGCAGCAAAATCAGATGCGGCGTTGGCTTGCGTAATTTCACTTCCATGCGCATGCCAAGCCTGTGATCCTGTCCATTTGTGGGTGATCCAAGCCTCCTAGCTGGCGGCATGGCGAAGGGTTGAAACCACGCCGTGCGTTCCCGACGGCAGGGTTGGCAGCAGCGGCATCGTTTGCAGTTGCGGTGCTGCTTCTGGCAGCATTTGCGGCGATAGGGTGGTGGTAGTGCTGGTAGTGGTTTGTGGCGCAGTAGTGGGAGGAAGTTCAGAGGAAAGGTGAAGCGAGTTGGCGCGCAGGAGGACTGGATTCGGCACCTGTGAAGCGAACAGCAGATGCTGGAGCGTCATCAAATTGTTGGTCTCGGTGCGCGGGCATGGGCATTGTGCTGTTGAAGTGGAGAGATGTGGAAAGATGATATGTTACGTGCAGTATGTGCAGTCAAAGTTGCTGATTGATGGCAAACTCTTTGATACAAGCATATCTTGGGTTCATTTGGCTCCGAGCTGTCTTGTCATCTCCAGAAACTGTTTCAAGTTTGGGGGCTGCGCTGCCTCAATCCAACAAGGCATGGGCATGGGAAGAGAAGGCTTCCATAGATTGGCGCTAAGGGTTTTCAAATGAATTACTAGCGATTACTAACAGCGGGACGCAGCCCCGGGGCATGTCGACTGTCAAGGGATGGGCGAGCTGGTTGCTTTGAAAGGTCAGTGGGAAGTACAGAAAAACAGCGGTCGCTGTCGCTGCGGTATTTGCTCTGCCAACTTGGGCCGACGTCTGGATTTGCTTGAGGCTCGCGTCCTCTCCCACTGGCATGAGTTTCTGGTACACAAGGCTGAAATGCAGCAAAAGTTCGAGGACGTCTTTGCAAAGGGGCGTCCAAAAGGAATGGCAGCCACGCAGCATGCTGAGCTGGAACGGAGAATCGGCTCCTGCGAGTCCGTGGTGAGATCGTCTGAGGAAGCAGTGCGCCAAGGCCTTGAGTTGAAAGTCCTCTCAGAAGATACATGGCGAGGTTTGGAGCGCCTGCAGAAACGAGTAGCACAAGATTCAGAAAGCCAGGGCAAGACGAGCGCTGACCTTCAGCAAGGACTTGTGATCCTTGATAAGAAGAGTGATGAGCTCCAGCTGTGGCTGCAGGGCCAGGCGTCTGAGATGCACGAACGAACGCCTTTTTTGTATCGCCACTGTTTTCTGTTCCAACTGTGTATACGTACGTGCTTCTGGAGTTAAGGTGACAGATCTTAGAAAGGAGATGCAGGACGTGATGTTGCGAGCGTCATAGGAGCAGCACCCAAAAGCAGACAGTTGTGTGTCCTAGACTTTTGATTCCGTCCAGAAGGCCGTGCCCGCGCGCAGGATCTCGGTGCCGAGTTGCGCTCCTCCTTTGATCGCCTTATGAGAAGAGGCGCCTTCCTTGTCACATTCTGGACTCCTATCAGCTCAATGTCACTTCATT